AAAAAAAAAAAAAAAAAAAAAAAAAAAAAAAAAAAAATAATTTTCCTCTGTTGCTCTCAAATTCCAATGAACTGCTATAGAAATGGCATGAAGAGAAGAAATCAGAAATCAGTCTTATTTATCTTTATATTCAATAACTATAGAACCTAGCATATATAAGATGATCACTTAAATTCTTTCTGAGGAAAATAATAAAGAAAAGAACTAAAAGTATTTTAATTAAGACTGTGGCTTTCTAACCAGTAACTTGAGCCAAATTAACTTGCTGACATTACAAATCACCCAGCATCAGGTATTTGGGGGCTAGCAATATAAATTAAGACTAATAAAGCAGTGCAAGTTCTATAGTGGTTAAATAATAAAACATACAAGCATCCGAGCAGTAGATATGTGAAAAATAGGTGGCTTTAAATCATGAGGTACAGTAACAGACATACAACTAATGTTTACTAAATGAGCAACTGTTTAGGTGAAAAGCATAACTAAACCATTTATAGGCTAAAGAATAGATGAATTTCTTAAACAAGACTCCAAGCACATTTTTTGAGAAGGTCTTCACATTAACTATATATCACTTGTTTGTGTCCATAGACACTGACTGAGAAACAACACTGTTTGCTACACACAGAACCAAAGAAAGGACTCACTTTCAAAAGGAATAATCCAACACATTTCTAAAAAAAAAGATGAACAACCTAACAGAAAACCTAGGTGAAAGAACTAAGAAGATTTTAGTTCTTTCACAGACAAACACACATACATTAAACACACACACACACACACACACACACACACACACACACACTACTCTGCTGAATACATCCCAACAGTAAGAATTTTGTCCTAGAGAAACTTACATTATGTATACAAGAAAAAACTTGAGAATAAAAGCAAACAAAAGAAACCCCACTGTATATCAAAAGAAATGATCAATTCTATTATAGAGCACAATGTCTAGCAAAAATTCAAGTGAACTAGTTAACTCTTCACACATTAACCAGTAAATTTCAAGAACATAATGGAAAAAATAAAAATTAAAAAAAGATCACAGATTATATAGCTAACTCTAGAAACCTTGCAAATGTATGCTATGAATATACACAGAGGTGGGTAAAGTGTTTAAAAACATATATGGAGCAATAAACATTAAATTCACAGAAGGGGGATCTTAAGAGGAAAGAGACCTAAGAACAGGATGATCAGTCCACATAAGTTTGCTCTTGGATTTATAACTAATTATTTCTTACCAAAAAAAAAGTATAGAGCTGGACTCAGTAGATAAGATGCATGCACCCACATGAAAAAGCAAGGCAGGGCACTAACATAGCCTGTGACCCTGACACTGGAGGAAGCAAATCCCAGGGCTCTCTGGCCAGCCTGCCTAGCCAGAACAAGGAGCCCTACATTCATTGAGAGACTGTCTCAAAAAATAAGGTGGAGAGAAGCAGAAGACACCTTACAAGGACCTCTGGCCTCCACACAGGCATGCACAGGCAAGCAAGGGAGTGTATATACACATATACACACACACACACACACACACACACACACACACACACACACACACACACACGCAGACACACAAAAAATACAGAAAAATTATTAAGATTTAACAAATCTGGAACCAGGGAAATGGTTCATTAATAAAAGTACCAGCTACCAAGCCTAATCACCTGAATTTGATTCCCTGGCCCCACATGGTGGAAGCAGAAAACCATTTCCTAAAAGTTGTCCTTGAGCCTCTACATGTAAGGTATGGCATGCACTCACATACACATAAAATAAATGAATAAATGTTAACAGTCATATTGTTCTGTGCATTTCTGCATGATATAATATTTCTCTTTTTTTTTAAGCATTTGAAGCTATTAGTTCAAAGAGAGTTCCTAAGCCAAGAAAAACTAACTGTGGTGGTTTGAATGAGAATGGCCTTCCATAGGCTCATATATTTGAATGCTTAGTCATCCCAGAGTGGAACTGTCTGAAAAGGATTCGGAGGTATAGGCTTGCTGGAAGTGTGTTACTAGGGGTGGGCTTTGAGGTTTCAAAGCCCATGCCAGGCCCAGGCTCTGTCTTCTTCTGTCTCCCCCTCTCTGTGTGTCTCTTCCCTACTTCTCTCTCCTTTTCCCTTTCCCACGGTCTGCTCCCACCATGATGACAATGGACCAAACCTCTGAAACTGTAAACAAGCTCCCAATCAAATGCTTTCCCTTTTAAGAGTTGCCTTGTTATAGTGTCTTCACAGCAATTTATCACATATTAAAGTGCAGCTCAAAATCAGAGTTAAAGGAAGATGGTATTTCTCCATTCAACAAGGAAACAAGGCCACTCCCCTGGCCTGTGGGTCTAGTTGTAGATGAGAAACATCATTTGCTGATAGGTGGTAAGAGTCACCAGTTTTGCAGAGTACTAGTTTTAAGGACTATAGACAGCAATAAAAAATAACAAATGGTTGGAGAAATGAAATGGCTCATTGGTAAAAAGCACTTGTTGCTCTTGCAGAGGACCCAGGTTTAGTGCTCAGCATCCAGTTCCAGGGAATCTGATGCCCTCTTCTGGCCTCCATGAGCACTGCAAACAAGTGGAGCTCATTCATTCAGGCAAAACACTCACGCACAGAAAATAAAAATAAATAAATCTGTAAATTCAACCAAAAATTTAAATTATAATACATTGAAAATATTCAGAAAAAAATTCCCGTTAGTAACTGATACTAATGTAATCCTGAATTTTAATACTACAGTTCAAGTAAAATATATTCCCCCTAAAGTTGGCTTTTTAAATACTACACATCTTCAAATCTTAAATGCTTTAATTCCAAAATCATAAAATAAGTAAATGAATCTATAACCTTTATTTTTTCAAGACAGGATCTTGTGAGGTGACCTCACACTCCTGATCCTCCTTGTCCTTTCCCTCAAGCTGTGTCACCATATGTGACACATTCTTTAAAATTTTTTTGTTTATTAAAAACATTTGTAATTTTTTTAATGGAAGTGTAGCTCAATAGTAGAGCACTTGCTTAACATATGTGAATCCATGAATTCAACTCAACCACAAAAAAAGTATTAATTAACATATATATAAACATACACATTATCTCAGTGACAATTCTAATAATTGTATAAATTATAAGAGGTACTTACATTGAATTTAATTATGTCATATATCAAGTATCTTGGAACAGCCTGTCCATTTACTTTGTCAATGATCATTTCCTTGGAAAAAAAAGATTAATTTTACTTTAATAGCAATTACTTTAATTTGATAGAATACAATACACAGAGAAAGAATATAAATCTTCAATATATGCCTTGATGAAACTTCAAAGGGAGCACACTTGTACTCACATCATATCAATGTAAGTTTTCAGCATGTCAAAAATCTTAACTATGTATTTATAATATATGGTGAAATAATCTCTGATGTTATCTCCTTGTGTTTTGTGTTGGGAGTGTGTAGATTTGTTTGAAGGCAGGTTCTTCCTATGTAGCCTCTGGCTAACCTACAGCTCATGAGATAGGCAAGGCTAGTCTGGAACTCTCAGAAATCCTCCTGCCTCAGCCTTCAAAGTGCTAAATTATAGATTTGCACCATCACAACCAGTTAAATGCTTTTTATAGTTGAATAGCTACAATACATTCTGCTTTATGTTTGTATTACTGGTAATATTTGAGAATAAATAACAAAATTTGAAATTCAGCATCATTTTGATAAATAATGTTTAATCATGACTGTTTAAAATTCTGTTATATGCTAATTACTTTAGTCTTATTACAGACTAAATTTCCTGTATTGCTTTTTAAATTCTCATCAAAGATCACTTCATTAAACTTTACCAATTTGTCCTGAGTAAAATTACTATTATGTTCCTAAATTTCTATTTGCCATATTTTGTAGGTAAAGAAATATATCCTAATAGGGCATAAAAGAACATCAATGTCCACATCCATTTAAAAAATTTGGGTTACCTTTGGATTTGGAATTTAAAAAACAATGTGCAAATGAAAATGTAAAAGAAATAGCAAACTACACTGGACTTTAACTGGAAAAAACAGATATGGTGATAGTAATTCTGGCCCAAGTAAACTGTCATGGACCAAATAGCTATTTAAAACCTCACAAGAGCAACCGGTTAGGTAAAGAAGAGGGCTCTCGGGGGCTCACGGATCTCCATGAGAAGAGGAAATAATGGATTTTACAGGTGGAATGGGGGCAGGTAGGGATGGACCTGGTAGGGATCAGATAGTGGGCTAGAATTTGGGGTGGTTTGGGGGCAGTGTGGGAGTCTTGTGCAGTAAGAACTTCCTGGAATCCACAAGAGTGACTCTAGTGAGGACTCCCAGAAATGGAGTTTTGTAATCATCTTTTGTACTCAGGCAAAACTTCCAGTGGTGAGCCTGGATTGCATTCAGTTGAGTTACTGGCCGAGGGGTTCCATGGAGATCCCTAAACAGCCCAAGATGATGCCAGGATAGAGAGCTGCTCTCCAAAAACTGACAGCAGTTGCTGAGGCCAAGATCCACACAGCTCATTGAGCTAGCACCTACATGGAGCCTTCACCCCTGTGTTCTAGTCTCTTTGGTGTGAGAAGGTACTCTATAGGCTACCAAAAGAGAAACCTGGACACCAACCCAGGCACAAAACCTTCAACCTACAATCTGTCCTGCCTGCAAGATGTGCTAGGGCAATGGTGGTACAGAATTTGTGAGAGTGGCCAACCAATGTCGGGTTTAACTTGTGGCTTAAGCCAAGAGAGGGAGCCATGCCCAACACTGTCTGGATGGCCAGGAACTAGAGACTGGATAGCCCAGAGTCCTTGGGGGCAGGGGGAGAATGACCCACAATAAAACAATTCCTAATGATATTCTACTACACTCATAGATCAATGCCTTGTCCAGTCATCAAAGAGGCTTCCTCCAACAGCAGATGGGAGCAGGTGCAGAAACCCACAGCCAAACATTATGTAGAGAGATAAATTAGAGGTCTCTATTGGGTCCCTCTCTTGGGGAAGAACAGAGGAAAGATTGTAGGAGTCAGAGGGGATGGAGGACACCAGGAGAAGATGAAGCTCTAAATCAATGAAGCAGGACTCATATGGGCTCACAGACACTAAGGCAGCAAACATAGGGCCTGCATAATTCTGCACCAGCTCCTCTGCGTATATGTATGACTATTAGCCTGATGTTTTTGTGGGACTCCTAACAGGGGGAATGAGTGTGTCTCTGACTCTTTTGTCTGCCCTTGGGACTCTTTTCCTCCTGAGTTGCCTTGTTTCAGCCTTGATATGAGAGCTTTTGCCTTGTCTTGTTGTATCTTGCTTTGTCCTGTTCGGCTGTCATCTCTTGGAGGCCTGTTCTTTTCTGAAGGGGAAATGGAGGAGAGGGCACACAACCCCTGGGGAGCTAGAAGTGCAGGGAGGGGGAACTGCAGTCAGGATGTGTTGTATGACAAAGAATCTATTTTCAATTAAAAAAAAAATTAGGCAATGGTGGCACAGGCCTTTAATACCAGCACTCAGGAGGCAGAGGCAGGAGGATCTCTGAGTTCAAGGCCACAGAGAAATCTTGTCTTGAAAAACCAAAAAATAAAAAAGAGAGAAAGACTTCACAAGAATCTATTACGTTGTTCTCAGTTATCCAAGTTTGAAGTGAAAATAAATAGTATTACCAAGTTAGATATTGCACATCTCATTCTGAGGCATTATTTCCTACATGAACTGGCCTCAGAATAACAGAAATCTCCATATATCCACTTTTCATTACGTGTATGTATACATGCACAGTTTAAGTATACATGTGTGGTGTGCCTGCTCCTGCTTGTGAAAGTCAGAAGAGGACATCAGGTGTCTTAGTCTCAGACTTAGTCACTTGAAATATGGTCTCTCACTGAACCTGTAGGTAGGTCAGCTGCCAGCAAGCAAGCCCCAGTGATCCTTCTGTCCCTGCCCTCCACAGCCCTATAGTTATAAGCACTCTGCCACAATTAGGTTCACATGGGTGTTTGGGATACAAACTCAGGTCCTCATTCCTTCATAGCAAGCACTCTTCCTCAATGAACCACCTCCCTAGCCCCCACATTTTCCATCTTTAATACAAACTCCTACATAAAGTAGATCCATTCCACATCATTAAATGGGATTCATTTCTCCTCCAAATGTCCACAGGACTTGTTTTGAATACATCTTAGAGCTACTGTTTTACTTAAGGGTACCCCCAATTGTTTCCAATCTTTCTCTATCCTTCCCAATAGTTTCCAGAGAGAGGAGACTTCCACACTCTAAGCAATGCCTGCACTCATAAGAGATACACAACAAATACTAGTTCAATATAAACTACCCCAACTATCAGAAAGACTCTTCTAATTTTAAAGTATTTCACCCTGCACTGCCCTGTGCTTATGTGGCACAAAGATCAACCATAAGGAACCATAGCAACCAAGAAAGTGAAAGGTCTGAAAATAAGCCTCACAGAATTCTTCAGAAGAAAATAACATAAGCTTACTGCCATCTAGACCAGCACATAGTATATAACACCTAGTGTATAACACAGCAATCTAGTCTAACTTTGTTATGTGTAGTTGGTTCACCCAAGAAAAAAACAAAGAAAGGAATAAAATCTCAGTGGCAAACATCAGAGCATCCAGGAGACTGGGTATACACTTGGCTTCTCCAGTCCCAAGATGTGCATTAAACTCACAGGATTAAGAGAATCTAAAACCATCACTAGAAGAACAAAGATTAATGGAAAAAGGAAGTGAATCAAGAAACAGCAGCGGTAGCCTGTTATGGTAGTACACACTAATCTCAGCACTTAGGCGACAGGCAGGGTCTCAGCTCTGAGGACAGCCTGAGCTACAGAGCAAGACCCTGTGAAAGGAAGGAAGGGAAGACTAGAAGAAAGAAGAAAGCAAGGAGATGTTATGGTAACAGTGGAATCTAGCACACAAAAACTTATACTTCCAACCAGAAAGGGTAAACAGAGTAGCTAAGTGTTTATTGAGGCAACAGCCTAGACATTTGAAAATAAGAAAACAGTACCTGCATATTACTGCTTCTATCAAGAGATATTTGGGCTGGATGAAATATTCAAATGTGTAAATAAAACACTAAAAGAAATATAAGTATTATGATCATCCTGTGGTGAATGGTGTCTTAAAATGTGGAAAAAGCCAAAGAGTAAGCATTAAGATCTTTATATTTGACCTACATATATTTAACCTTTTGTACAGTGCATGAAATGACAAAAAAAGAAACATAATTTTCAACATATGTAACAAAGTATGCCCCAGTAAGCAAGAAGACTTCATAAGCCAATATGAGAGAAATGAACACCCAGAAGAAAACTGTAGAAAAGATCTGAACAGGAGCTCTCGGAATCAAAATAGTAACTCACAAAGGAGTGAGAAGATGTTACGTCTCATAATGACCACGTAAACAAGGACTAAGTGCCAAACATTATCAAATCACCTTACAAACTTTCCTGATCCTTCCCATTTCACCACAGAGGGAAAAATGACTGAACTGTGTAAGGTCCCTCATGGAATAACTGATAAAGCCAGGAAGGCACTTGGAGTTAAGGTTTCGTTGCTATACATACTATTCCTTAAAACAGAGAAGTCATTCTGACCCTCTTTAAATGAGAAAATACCAAATCAAATTCCAGTGCTAACAGTGTATAATAATGCTTAGAGCTAAACTAGACAACCTGAGTGAATTCCATCTCCAAGTTGTCCTCGACTTCAACTCACAAGCCATGGAATGTACACACCTACACACACAAATAAAATGCAATAAAAATGTACTATTAGAAAAAAGGACTTTATCATAAAACTGTACAATTTTGAACACACAAGATATACATTTAAGTTATGCTTAGAAAAAAATCTAAAAAAAAAAAAAACTATACTGTCCACTTGGTCACTTATAAAGATACTTTTGGAGATTGCAATTCAGGACATCTAGAACCAGCTGTTGGAAGAGATGTTTGTTTTGCTTTACTGTATTTTATCTAGTTATATATGTGTGTGTATTTAATTATATTCATTTATGTGTGGGGAGGATTGTATGCATTCTATGGCATATGTGTGGAGATCAGAAGATAACTGCAGGTTTCAGGTCCCTCCAACCAGGTGGTCTTGAACTTATCAATCTCCGGACTCAACTTGTATGTGAGGGCTCATGTGCCAAGGTATGTGTGTGGAGATCAGAGGATAGCCATGTAAAGTAAGTTGTCTCCTTCTACCGTACATAGGTTCTGGGGATTGAACTCATGTCACCAGACCTGCACAGAAAGCACCTTTACCCACTTAGCAATCTTTCCCACCACTTAACTAATTTTTAACCCTATGATTTCTGCCATCAAAACACTTTGGAATGACTGAAGAGAAGATTCAGTGCTTAAGAGCACAGACTGTTCTTTCAGAAGACCCTAGGTTCGACCCCCAGCATACAACATGGTAGCTCATAATCACCTGTAACTCCAGTCTTGAGGAGTTAAAAACAGTTTGAAAATCCAAAATTACGGTATTTATACATATAGGTACACCATTCAGACATTTATATAAAACAACAAGTCCAAAACAAACTGCAAGTAGAAAATAACTTTAAAAACCATATATAACATTTAGTTCTATATGTAAATGAACAGATCAAGAAATGATCTACAAGTGCACATACTTGATCAGAGCACTCCTTTTTTCAGCCAAGCTAAAGGTTCTGTGAATATTCAAACTCTGAGACTAAATTAGGCCCCTAGCTTCCCTTAAGGTTCTAACAAACTCTGTTTAAGAATCTATAATCTAGCTAGGCAGTGATGATGCATTCCTTTAATCCCAGCACTCCAGGGGCAGAGGCAGGCAGATCTCTGAGATTGAGGCTAGCCTGGTCTACAGATCGAGTTCCAGAACAGCCCGGGCTACATAGAGAAACCTTGTCTCAGAAAAAAATCTACCCTCTAAACCCAGCTATGGTGATATACATGCATAATCCCACCACTTGCAGGAACAGAGAGTTCTTGAATTCAAGACAAGCCTAGACTACTAGACTATCTATATAAGAACCTTGATGTTATTGATATGAATGTGCTGTATTTTTCAACACAAAATACCTTGCACTGAGCAAAGTCTACAGTTACAGCCATCAAAATAGCAACATAAGTTATTTCAACATTAGAAGTTTCAGTGATTTTTTTTATTAGCTTTTTTTTTTTTTTGATTGTTTGGCTTGATTTGCTTTTGATTATTTTTTTTTTTAAGATTTATTTATTTATTATGTATACAGTATGTATGACTGCAGGCCAGAAGAGGGCACCAGATCTCATTACAGATGGTTGTGAGCCATCATGTGGTTGCTGGGAATTGAACTCAGGACCTCTGGAAGAACAGTCAGTGCTCTTAACCTCTGAGCCATCTCTCCAGCCCCTGATTTTATTTTATTTTTTTTAGATACAGTCTTACTATGAAGGCAGACTGGCCTGGAACTTAATACAAAACCCAGGCTGGCCTTGCACCGATACACTCCTGTCTCAGCTTTCCAAGTGCAGAGATTAAAAGTAGGTGCCACCATGCTCAGCTTTTACCACTTTTTGTTGGTCTACATTATTTTAATTTTTATTCAAAATTACCCGTTGTTCTCCCCCCGCCCCGCCCCAAGGACTGATTAAGGGAAAACTATTTACAAGGAAGAAAGTGAAAAAACACTTCATATTACTAAAAATAAATAACAACTACTTTTCAATAATAAAAACGAAGATTTTATTTTGTTCCCTTATGATTAATACCAGATTTATTTAACTCATTTCCCATATCATAACCAATTTTCTCTACTAAAGAAAATATCTGAAAAATGCTGTTTAGACTCAAAGATCAAGATTTGAGGCTTGTGTGCTTTGTTTCTGATGCAGGATGTCACTGTGTTAGCTCTTGATGGCACTGAATTTGCTGCAATTCTTCTGCTTCTGCCACCCCAGGGCTAGGACTATATAGTGTACTTACCATTCTCAGCTAGATCCATCTTTAAAAAGGAAGTTACTCACTATAAGTACAGGTAAGAAATAACATTCAACATTCAAATAAAAATTATATTTGTTTCTAAATTAGACATACTAACAATGACTGCACTATTTAATTTAAAAAAACACACACACACACATATAAATAAATTACTTACCCCATCCAAAAGGGTATTTGATAAATGCATGCGGAGATCTTTACGAAATGGAAATTCCAGGTTTGAAACATGAAACACTGAATTATCTCTGTCAATCATAAAAACTTCATTTGTGCCATCAATCAACATCATGTAACTGTAATAAAACATTAAAAGGGTAGTATTAACATATGGTATCAAGAACAAGGTCATTAGAACAGCTGAACTTGTTTTTCCTAAACTGACAACATTTTCATGGAATGATTACTACAGTCCCTCTCTTGATCATGAAAATTAAAACACCACTTTTTTTTTTATTTTACCTTCTATAGGAAACATAAAAATAGGGAAACCTGATTTTTATGAAGACAATGTGATGTCAGGAGTGTATATACGATGTCTAAGAAGAACTGTTTCTCTAATTTTGATTAATTTTGTATCAAAAAATTTCAAAGTTTATAAACACACAAACATATATACTGTATTTTATAAATTAGATATTATCTTTTCCATATCAAAGGTGAAAAAACACTGAGCTCAAATTATTCAATCCTATTTCTACCATACCAATTGCACAAGTTTTCTCTTTGAATCAATATTATAATATGCAAAATATCACAATATTAGAATTCTTCTCATTCATATGGGGAAATTTATGCACTTAATAAGGTAGTCATACTTCATAAATCAAGTTAAATGTATGGTGTCTGCATGTCAAGAATGGAGCTCCAGCCGGGCAGTGGTGGCACATGCCTTAATCCCAGCACTCGGGAAGCAGAGGCAGGGGGATCTCTGCAAGCTCGAGGCCAGTCTGGTCTACAAAGTGAGTTCCAGGACAGGCTCCAAAGCTACACAAAGAAACTCTGTTGCGGGGGGGGGGGGGGATGGAGCTCCAACCCAGACATGGAGTTTATACTTATAATCCCATGGCTCAGCCAGGCATAATGGCGCACACCTTTAATCCAGCACTCGGGAGGCAGAGGTAGGCAGATCTCTTGAGTTTGAGGCCAGCCTGGTCTATAGAGCAAGACAAAGTAAATAGCAAGACTATTGTCTTGAGGGAGAAGCGGGGGGAGGTGTTAAATTCATCTCTCTTTAAAAAACAAAAAATGGTGGGGAGCTGGGGAAACAATTCAGTAAAGTACTTGCTATGGAAGCATGAATACCTGAGTTTGATCTGTAGTACCTATGGTGACCTGAATAAGAACGTCACACATAGGCTCATGGTTAAATACTTGATCCCCAGTTAATGGAACTGTTTAGCAAGTATGAGAAGGTGTGGTCTTGTTGGAGGAGGTGTGTCATCGGGAGTGGGCTTCAAGGTTTCCAATGCTGTGCTATGCCCAGTGCTCTCTCTGCCACCCGCTTGAGGTTCGAGATGTAAGCTCTTAGGGGCTAGACACATGCCTCCTGTTTTGCATCATGGACTTTAATTCTGTGAAATAAACCCTTTCTTCCATAAGTTGCTTTGGTCTTTATTAGAGCAATGGAAAAGTAACTAATATAGTGCCCACATAAAAAAAACAGGTGTTATGGCACACACTAGTAATCCCAATGCTAGGAAGGCAGAAACAGGTGGAACCCTGGGGCTAACAACCCAGCCAAGCTAGCTCTGTCAGTGAGCCCCATGTCCCAGTGAGAGATCCTGTCTAAAAGAAAACAAAACAGAAAACTAACCCTCCACATGTGCACTCAAATAAAAACAGTGCTCAAATTTCACATCACATAAAAATAAAGCCCAGGAGGTAGAAGTAGAAGGATCAATAGTTGAAGGTTTCTCTGGGCTACATAGCAATATCCTGGCAAAAGCAAATAAAGTTCATCCAAGCTATTTGTGTTTGATGTCAGAAAGGGTAGAGCGAGAGAGTGCAGGTCAGTTGGTAGAGTGTTGGCCTGGCATACACAAAGCCCTAGCATGCAAACCCAGAATGGTGGCAAAGGATTGTAATCAGAGCACACAGAAGATGGAAGGAAGCAAGATGATCACAATAATAGAGGGAAACAATGACCCATCCAACCACCTACCCAAAGAATAGAGTGTGTCAGCAACAAGTAAAAGATGGAGGGGAAGCAAACTAAAATCAGGAGACAGAAGAGACATTGAATGAACAGATAGCAGCTAACATAGTAATTGTTTCCTGTGTGTGTCTAGTAAAGACAAGGAGAAATAGGAAAACTGATTAAAGTGCAAGAGGAACACAAACAACAAGATAAGGAGCAGCAGCAAACATCCAAGGGGCTCATATCTGAAGGCTACCATGGTACTCCTCGCTGTTCCTAAAGTACTTATTCCAACTGGCCCTGAGACAGATTGTTCAGGCCCTTCTTACATGTGGAAATAGCTGCTGCTCTAATAGACAAAAAGGGCAGAAACTCAGTTCCACTGAGGAAAAAAAAAAATCAATCGGCCTCAGTCTGGAGAGAAGAACTGATGGACCGAATACTACCCGGCAGGCTCAAGAGCAACAGAAAAAGTTAATACTCAAGGCTCTCTTGCAGATGCTTTGTAAAAGTAGTGATTCCAGCAGGCTCAAGAGCAACAGGAAGAGTTTATACTCAAGGCTCTCTTGCAGATGCCTTGTAAAAGTAGTGATTCCCGGCATATATAAAGAAACTGGGCTTCTTGCAAGACACAAGAAATGTTCTGGATTATATTCCAAAAGAAATTTAAATCAACACAAGAAAATGTCAAATGAAAAGCAATTATGACACTGTCTACGAATATGCTATAGAAGATACACAATCCATCATCTTGAGCCAGTATTTAATAAAAGGTGTTTGATGAAAACACAAGTTAGGAAAACACCGTGTCATTCTCTTAGAAAGTCAAGATATGCATACATTATGAGGGTATTTTAAATCATAAGTAAGGTGTAGTAATATGTAGTACCAGCCCTCAGAGGTACTGCAGGAGCAGGAGATTCTGGAGTTCCAGGTCTCTTTATATAGCCCAAGAATCAGTATCAAAAACTAAACAAAAACAGGCTGGACATATGGCTCAGAGGTTTAGACCACTTGCTGCTCTGGCAGAGAACAGAGGATCAATTCTCAAAACCCAGATGATAGCTCATTACCATCTGTAACCTTTAGTACCCAGGGATTCAATGTCCTCTTCTGAACTCCCTAGACACCAGGCACTTATTATACAAAAATGTAGGCAAAACAATCATATAATATACACAAAATAAAATTTTAAAATCTAAAAAAAAAAACTTTTTAAAAGAAATTAAAATCATGAGAAAACATATAAATAAGTTTAACTGTCTTACTGAGCCCCAGATTTCTACACTTAACCCCAATATTTATTCGAAATTCAAGGAAAAAAATGGCCTATGTTAGTACATTTTCTAATTTGAGAAATGCTTTGCCTCTTCTGAGCCTAAGACAGATATTGTATTTCTCTTTACTTGCTACTCAGAAATTAAGAAATGATGTTCATATCAAATAAATAGTAATTTCTTGAGTAGTAATATACTAACTTGATACACATACACACACACACACACACACACACACACACACACACACACACACACACACATCTATGTATCTACCTTATGAGCCGAACTTTCTTTCTACTTTGAATAGATTATCAGTTTAAAAAAAAAAAAAATAGTGTAGGGGCTTAAGACATGGCTCAGTGCTTAAGAACACTGACTTGTTCTTCCAAATAACATGGGTTCAATTTCTAGTGCCCACATGGTGACTCATAATCATCTGGAACTGCAGTTCCAGGGGATCCTATGCCTCTCCTGGTCTCCATAGACACTGAAGGAATGTGTTACATACACATGATGCATGCAAAAAGTAAAAAATAAAAATACCATATACATAAAATAAAATACTGTGCCCCCATTGCATATCAACAGATTAAAAAGGCCAAAAACAAAAAAGACTTTGGAGGATAGAATTTACTTCAAAGGACTGTTCATGTGAAAAACAGCTGCATCTAGAGAGGTAACAAAAAATTATTCACTGGTATTCAGAGATTCCTCTACATGTATTTTGAAACAAGTTGCTGAAGCACAATTTTTGGTCTCAATTCTAATCATTATGTGATACTTACAGGAAGAAATGAGCAGGCCTAAGAATACATGTCAGTGGTAGAGCACTTGCCTAGCATGTGCAAGGCCCTGCCAGCATGTGCAACACCAAAATAAATACTAAGTAATGAATTATCTCATGTTCATGAACAAAGGCTAAAGACTACAGAAAGTATTCTCACATCACACCCAAGACCACGAAAATAAGCCAGATTATTTTAGAAAGAGACAACTACCTCACACATTGCTAGATATTGCTAGATATATAGTACCTAACTATATAGATCTAGTTTCATGGACCATGAACCATGAGTGTAATATAATTTCTCTTTAGAAAATTATCTCAGTTGCAAATTTAATATTCAGAATTATTCATGTCATATGTATTCTCATTAAGATACAAAATTTCACTAAAACTTTCTTTTTCTGTCATGCTTTTTGTTGTTTGTTTGTTTGTTTGTTTGTTTGTTTTATACAGACCTTGCTATGTAGCCCAGGCTGAGCTCAGGCTCAAGATTCCCAAACTGCATAGCACTAGGAAGCCTCCCCAGCCCAGAAACCACAAACATGCATCACCACATCTAGACTTGCAGTGTTCCTTCTATAAAGATACACACAGTCATTATAGAGTATAGAAAAGTCATACTGATAGAATGTTTTACTGTAAATGTAACCTTTCCAGCTGACCTAGAAACAATCCAGTTTTATTTTTTTCATCATTGTGATTGTATGGTCAAGTAAAATCCCTAAAATATGCATTAGTAAAAATTAGGAAACACACAGAAGACTGACAGATAAAGTTCTAAGTAATGACACATTAAAGTCTTAATTCACATTCCTACCAATACTTTAAAGGGAAAATAATGTTGATTTCGTATCACTGATTCACAACTCTGATGATAAATCTACATTTCAAAAAATTTATCTTAGGCTTTAAAAGCAAAGATCTATCTCTTATTTGTTCTTTATAAACCAGGTCTATTTAAATATACACAGGACACTCAATAAATGTTCAAGCAAGGCTATGTACAAGGAAGTTCATCACACTATTTTTTTTTTTTTTTTTTGGTTTTTCGAGACAGGGTTTCTCTGTGTAGCTTTGCGCCTTTCCTGG